AGGAGGGCTGGTAAGTGACTGGTTGGCCTCCACATCAGGAACCTCAAGAACTTGGAAAAGCATTTCCACCTGCCACCATGCACATAGCACCTTACAGCTCCAAATCTTAGGGATTTAACTAGACCCTTCTCAACTAATCATGTTTCAGGCTGACTAAGCCCTTGGAATAACAAGCTTCAAAAGTATACTTTGCGCTATGGAAACACATATGTCCTTTCAAGACCCATCAAAAGACCTCTTCTAATTTCCAAAGAAGTTCCCAAATTCTCCTCAGGAAACAAGTTCTTGTCAACCCTCCCATACACCTTTCTAACTTCACTGCCTTCAATGTTGCACCTCAGGAAGAAAAAAAAAACTCAACTCACTGCCGTTGAGTCAGATCCAACTAACAGCAACCCCTTCTTGGGTTTCCAAGGCAGTATCACAACAGAAGTAGATTGCCTAATCTTCCTTCTGCAGAGTGGCTGGTGGGTTTGGACCACCAGACTTCTAGCTAGCAGTCAAATGCCGTAGGCACTACACTATCAGAGCTCCTATACCACCAGAGCTCCTTGCACCTCAGAGGTGGGTTTCATCTCCTGCCACAGTCCAAAGAGCCCCCATCCCCTCCCCTATCATTTGGACTGACCCTCTCATAGCTCTCTCCAGAGGGCCTTGGACCAGACCAGCCAGTGGGTCTAACAGGAGCCTTGCCAAGGGCACAGGGTGGCCCAGAACCCCCAGCTGAGCTCCCACTCTTTTAAGGGAGCCCAGGGACTGGTACAGGAGACGTGGGCCCTCCAGGACACACATACATAACAATCACTCTCACTCCTAGGCTTGCTCCAGAGTCCCCTCTGGTCTAGGACATGAGCCAGGGATGGCACCCTCCAGCACAAGAGTGGAGACCCGGCTGTGTGGAAGCTGCAGGAAGAGGGTGAGCTCTGGAGTAGGACAGAGTAGCACTCAGATCCCAAGCAGTTCACCAGCCTTGAGACCAGCGAGGCACAGCAGCTCTCCATGCCTCAGTTCCTGCATAAGAACATCTAGACATTCAGACCTCTCAGTTACTGTGAGGCTGAGTAAACATTTGTAAAAGGTCTGGCTCCAGGGGGTTTCTCAGAAACAACTATAGCTATTACTACACTTATGCCATTTCTCTTGTCTGGACACACACACCAGTGCAGTGCTGAGGGCAGGCCTTGCACTGCTGCTTCTGTGGCCTCTCCTGCAGAAGCTGTTTGCGTAATCTTCATGCTTCGCTTCCTGCTTTCTAGGAATAGTTCCTGCTCCACTTCATCCCTGAACACACCCCAAATACAACCCAAGACAACCTTCCAGCCACAGCAACTAGTCCGGGGATCCCAGCATGCTCTACCCAGGCCAATTTTCCCTAGGGTTTTATCTAACAACAGAGGGCAGGAAAGATCCCTTTTGTCTTCCATCCTAAGAGCAGGAAGAGCAGGAATCTGGGTTAGCCAACTGCCTCGTTTCCTGCCATGGGGAAAAAGTCTGCTCCCTATCACTTTATATTGTCTTGAATAGACAAGCAGAGATGGAGATGCGGAAAGTATGTCCTGACAGTCCCTGGAGCTTCTCTGCCCTACAGTTCTTGCAAGGAGTCTGTGGGCACTGCCAACAGCTTCCTTCCAATAAATCCCCTCTGGCTTAAGCTAGTATGAGTTGGGTGTCTGTCCCTTGCAACCTCAAGAGCACTACTATCCCACCTTGCCTCATGCCCAAGGCCCACTGAGGGAGCTCAGCACTCGGCTCTTAACAAATGAATGGATAACAACAAAGACTTAGGGCTTGTCCACATTCCCAGAGCCTGCTGACCTACTGATACCGCCATCCAACCAAGAGACACTGAAGGAGAGAAAGAGCGACAGAACTCTTAATGCAGGTACCCAAGACCAGCAAGTTTCTCTGAAAGATGAGATCAAGAAGGCAGGATGGCACTCAAGAAAGAGAGTTTACTTATTTTCTTTAGATTACCCAACTCTCAACCACTCTGCACCCCAGGTGCGCTCTTCACACCCCTACTTCCCCTCCCAGAATCCAGAAATTCAGAACAGGTAGCCCCTGTGTGGGGGATAGAGTCCCACCACATAAACCGGGGAAAAAAAAACCAAAACAACCCATTGCCAATGAGTTGATTCTGACTCATAGCGGCCCTAAAGGACAGAGTAGAACTGCCCCATGGGGTTTCAAAGGCTGAAATCTTTATGGAAGCAGACTGCCTCATCTTTCTCCTATGAAGTGGCTAGTGAGTTCGAATCTCTGACTTTTTGGTTAACAGTTAAAGCCAGAATCCGGAGGTGGGACAACCACCTTGCTCCAGGAGCTAATTATTCAGTTTTTATGTCAGAGGAGTAACCAAACTCCTGTCAGCACCCACAATGGCTTTCTACTTAGGACCCTGGGCCAGGTCTTGAAATTATAGAGGGAAAAAAAAATCTGTACTTCAATGGAAACTGTGCTTTGCCCCCAGTACCATTCCACCTTATTGTTATTATGTGCCGTCGAGTCGGCCCCAACTCATAGCGACCCCTCCTTGGGTTTCCGAGGCAGTATCACTACGGAAGTAGGATTGCCCAACCGACCCCTCCTTGGGTTTCCGAGGCAGTATCACTACGGAAGTAGGATTGCCCAACCTTCCTTCCGAGGAGTGGCTGCTGGGTTTGAACCTTTGAACCGCCAGCCATCTGGTTAGCAGGCAAGTGTCTTAGCCACTATGCTACCAGAGCTCCCACCATGCCACTTTATCTGATTCTAATTCTAAGGAGGCTACTTTCCAACTGAGAGCACTGCCCAGAGCTGACAGCAATGCAAAACTCCTGTCTACAGAAATGCAAATCTCATCTTCTCCAAAGGAAGGGAAATTATCTTCCCTCCTACCCAGTGGAAACAACAACAACAATTTTGCCTCCATTTCCACATTAATTTCAATATTCCTGATCTACATATGTTTCAAGGAGTCCCTGGGTGATACAAATGCTTAATACGCTTGGCAGCTAACCAAAAGATCGGAGATTTGAGTCCCCTGGAGATGCCTCAGAAGAAAGGCCTGGCAATCTACTCCTGAGGAGCTTGGAAGCCCTGAGTCGGGTCAACTCGACGGCAGCTGGTTTGCAGTAACTGTTTCTGTCCTCTGGGTTCTCTTTTGAACTGGTTACAACATCTGCTTGGGTCCCTCATTAATTTATGAGTCAAACAAATTCTTTAACACACAGTTGTTTTTATTTCTAAAAGAGAGTCATGATCTCACATTTTTCTGAAAATTATCTTTAAACAAAGTGCTGTGACTAGGGTCTGCTCACAGCCTGGGTTCTTCTGCCTCAGCTTCAGGACCTGCAGGACCCAAACTCCTGGCACCCTAGAGCTCCCTAGGGTCTTTGATTCCTCCCCACCTCCTGTTCCTCCAGGGCCCAACCTGGCCTTCACCTTGGCCTCCCACTAACAGGGTAAGTGCTCAGCTGTGTGGTCTTAGGTTGGCCCCAGGATTTCCAGAAAGCCTGGGTGGGTGGTCAAGTGTGGTGGGTGTGCTCATGTTCATATTCAATCTCTCTCTCTCCCCCGCCCCACATACCTCTCTCAAACAGCTCCAAGCTGTAGCCTTTGCTCTTTGTGTCCCAAACCACATACTAGGCTTACCAAAAAAACACACTCACTGCCATCAAGTAGAACCTAACTCATAGAGACCCCTCCTTGGGTTTCTGAGGTGGTATCACTACCGGAGTAGATTGCCCAGTCTTCCTTCTGAGGAGTGGCTGGTGGGTTTGAACCGCCAGCCTTCTGGTTAGCAGTCAAGTGCCTTAGGCACTATGGTACCAGAGCTCCTACCAGGCTTAAGGGGTAGAGGAATAACTGCAACCAAACAAGGAGTGGGTCAGCGGCAGACTTCCTGCCACCCACCCTCTCTGGAGCTCCTGTATTTGGAGTTGATTTCCACCACTTATCCAGACTTGGACACTGCCAACCAAAATCCCTTGCTTTCTCCTGTTCCCATCTTAGCACCTGCTGACTACCTGCATCTCTCCTAGATGCCACTCACTTCCACACTCACTGATCACCTACCAGGTGCCAGGCACTGTATGATGTGTTACCAGGTGCCACTGAGTTGATGCTGACTTGTGTAAGCATAGAACTGTGCTCCACAGTGTTTTCAATGGCTGATTTTTGCCAGGGTTCCAAAAAGTATGAGCAAAGTCCCTGCCCTCAAGAGACTCACATTTAGATAGACAAAGGATAATCTATACATATACACAAAAGTCGATAATACAGCTAATGATAATCATAGAAAATGTTACTTGAGTACTCGATGTGCTAAATACTTAGCACTTCACGCAACCTTCACAACAAACCCAAGGGTAGATAAAAACCAAACCAAACTCACTGCTGTCAAGTCGGATACGACTCACACCAACCCTTCTTTGGGTTTCCAAGGCGGTATCACTACGGAAGTAGATTGCCCAGTCTTCCTTCTGAGGAGTGGCTGGTAGGTTTGAACCAGCAGCCTTCTGGTTAGCAGTCAACTGCCTTAGGCACTATGCCACCAGAGTGAAAAAGTAGGGGCCCTGAGAGGCCCCAGGATCCCCGCCTCCCAGATCAACAGCCCCTTGGAGAGTCTCTCCAGGCCTAAGATTGAGCATTTTCTCCAGATGATGAGCCTCGGGGACAACTGTCAACTCTAAGGCAAATGAAGCCCCAAGTCATGGCTGACCAGCCTCCAACTGTCTCTACAGGTTCCAGTTTGCCAGGTGCTGGTCCTGATGGCTCGGGGGCCACCTCAACACAGGTATCTACACCCAAGACCATGCCATAGGCCTGGGCCTGGTGGCAGGTCACTGCAGGCCCATTTCACCAGGGAACTGCTGCCAAGAGCATGCCCACTGAGTCCAGGGGCGGGCAGTGACTCTCCCAAGTCCATTCTAGGACACCAGGCTTGAGAGAACTCTTCTATTCAGATCACCACTGGAGTCTCCCCCACCCCTTCATGTCCCAGGACACCCAACACTCACGATGTTCATGAGGGTGAGGACGTAGTTCTGCACGTGCTCCTTGCCATGGAAGCGCACCACCGAGTCATCCACTGCCAGCAGCACCTCGATGCTGTAGCTGCCCGGCTTGGCATGGCGCCGTTTCCGCTCCACATCACCCAGCTGGTCCCCTACCAAGCCCAGCAGGTTGGGAAGGTCACCCAGGCCAAAGGCTAGAAGTAGGATGGAGACACAGAGGTCAGATCTATGTGATGCTGCCCACCAGTCCACCCTGCCCTCTGCCACCACCTGCCCTGTTACATGTACCACTTCCCTGCCTCTCAGCCAATGCAGTGAGGCTTACATTTCATACCAGGGTAGGGTATGAGCCCTTTTCCGCACGAGGCATGGTTGAGTTTTTGAGTCTGCAGCAGAAGAGTGAGAACCAGCCCAGGGGCCAGGAACCCTGGTTCCAGCTCCCACTGGGTTCTATTTCACAGTGGGTCCTTGGCCAAGTCTCTCCGAGCCTCAATCACCTCTTTTGTTACAGTTGTTGTTGTTGTTGTTATTTGCCATCGAGTCGCCCCCAACTCATAGCGACCCCTCCTTGGGTTTCCGAGGCAGTATCACTACAGAAGTAGGATTGCCCAACCTTCCTTCCGAGGAGTGGCTGGTGGGTTTGAACCACTAGCCTTCTGGTTAGCAGTCAAGTGCCTTAGGCACTATGCTACCAGAGGGGTGAATAATCCTTGAACCCAAGGTTGCTCTAACACTCAGAGGTGATAGTGGGTGAAAACATCTTGATAAGGGAAGAAAAAAATCATGGTATTACTGTGGCCTATGCAGGGCAGCCCCCAGGATGTGCCTGCTGTGCCTTCCAAACCCCTTCCAATCACTGGCAGGGGCCTAAAATGTCACCATCACAGCTTGGCCTTTTGGCTAAAAGCAAAATTCATAAGAAACTCTGGTGGCATAGTGGGTAATACTGTTAACCAGAAGATCGGCAGTTCAAACCCAGCAGCTGCTCTGTGGGAGGAAGATGAAGCAATCTACTTCCATAAAGATTTACAGCCTTGGAAACCCAACGGAGTATCTATGAGTCAGAATCAACTTGATGGCAGTGGGTTTTGGTTTTTATTAACTCATACTATGTAATCTAGGAGTTGGCAAACGTTTTCTGGAAAAATACAGCAAATATTTTAGGCTTTATGGCCCATACAGTCGCTTTTACAAATACTCAACTCTGCCACTGAAGCACAAAAATAGCCATAAAACCAAAACAACCAAATTCGTTGCTGTGCAGTCAATGTCAATTCACAGCGATTCTGAAGGACACAGGAAAACTGCCCCCTAGGTTTCCAAGCCTGTAATCTTTATGAACGTGCACTGCCTCATCCTTCTCCCATGGAGCGGCTGGTGGGTTTGAATGACTGACCTGTTGGTTAGCAGCTGAGTGCTTAACCACTGCACCACCAGGGCTCATTAAAAACAGCCATAGACAATACATAAACAAACAACTCTTCGTTCCAATAAAATGTGATTAACAAAAACAGGTGGCAGGGCATCTAATCTACTCCTTACAACTTGATCAGGTTATTATCCCCATATTAAGGGCAAACAAGCCGAGGTTCAAAGATGTTAAGTCACTTATCTGTCCGTCTGAATCAAAAGTCCTTGCTCTGGACCATGATCATCTATTATAAGTGTCACTCCCTTTTAAAATGCATGTATGCTTCTAGTTACTCCTCAGGGAATATCCATCCTCAGGGCTGGAATTGAACTCACTCCCATGGCTTCCAGCCAAATAACAGACAGGCATATAGGGTGAACATTTACACCAGGTAGATATACTGCTCAGAACGACCAATCCTGGTAGAACAGAAGGCCAGTATTTGTATAGGGAGATAGCTCAGGGGGCAGAATGCACAGGAAAGAAGGACACAGGGAAGTTACAGGTAACCATGGGGAGGAAGTGGGAAGAGAAGTGCTGCTACATTGTGGGGAATTGCAATCAATGTCATGAAACAAAATGTGTATGAATTGATGTATGGAAAATGAATTTGCTCTGTAAACTTTCACTCAAATCACAAGAAAAATTTTAAAAAAGGAAAAACAATAAAATGAAATGTCCATCAACTGATGAACAGACAAATAAAATGTGCTATATCCATACAATGGAATCTTTTCAACCACAGGAAGGTATGAAGTACTGATCCACTATGACATGGATGAAACTTGAGAACATTAAGCTCAGTTAAAGAAACCAAACAAAGGACTACTTAGCACATCACTGAATAGTACTCTCAGGAGGGTACACACTCAGAACAATCACGCATACGAGATCAAGAGGACAACATTTGCCCAGGGATAGAGCTAGGAAAGTGGGAGGGGCTGGGAAAGAAAGATGAAGGGAAGGGGTGGGCACAGGGAGGAAGTAGGAAGAATGCTATTACAGGGTGGAGACTGCAATAAGTGTCACAAATCTGAATGAGTATGGATTCTGGAATGGAAAACCAATTTGCTCTGTAAACTTTCATCCAAATCACAATTTAAAAAAAAGACTACCTATCTATCTATGTATGAGCCCGCTTACACAAAATGTCCGGAAGAGTCCAATATTTCCACACAGAAAGTGGATCGGTGGTTGTCAGGAGATTGCTGGAGGGGGATATGGGAGTGACTCTTAATGGGTATGTTTTTTGGGGGGAGTGGAGGAGTGTGATGGAAATGTTCTGGCATTTTCCTTCCCTATTTGTGGTAATGGTTGCTCAACACTGTGAATGTACTAAAAACCACTGAACCGTACACTGCTCAAAATGGTTCAAAAGGTGAATTTTATGTTACGTGAATTTTATCTCCATAATAAAAAAGCAGAAGCCCTAGAACAAGCTTGGCTGGCTGCACCTCTAGGGATGAGCTGCTCTGGTGTCTAAAGAACTAGAACTCTGGCCACAGAAGCACACGGACCATTCACTCCAGTTCCCTTAACAGAAGGGACATGGAAGGTGGAACAAGGCTGAAAAGAGAGCTGCACTATGGGGTTGAGGAAGGAGGGTGTAGCGTCAGCAGCATGGGAACACCCACGGTACAGCCTTTAGGGCCAAGGCAGTGTCCGCAGGGGAGTCTCTGAGGATGCAGGTTCAGGGCTTGCTCTCACCAGACAGTCCAAACTAGGGAATCCCTACCTCAGACTCTAAACAGTTCAGATTTTTCACCACAGCCTTGAGTAAAGAATTTCCTAACTCTTCTCTGATGCTCACCCAGGATTGGGGGTGGGGAGTGGGGTGCACATGTGCTCACTTCAGGAAGTGGCAGCCACAGTCAGAGCCTGAGTGGCAAGGGGGAACCATCCCCTCCACTCTCCCCACAGCCATAGGCACACTTCAGGCATTTACAGTGGAACCTAGGTTGCAGGAGCCCCTCCACAACTAGAAACACAGTATGATGCACTACCCCCCACCCAAACATACACACAGGATAGCGAGACAGATCCCAAGAGGCAGAAGAGCTCCTATGAGTGACACAAAGATTAAGATTTGGTATCTGTCCCTGAGGATTCCACAGCCTGTTCCAGGGGTGGCAGACGCAAGAGAAATCCAGGGGGCTGAGAGTCTGGGGGAGGACCATCTAAGCTGGAAGGATACAGGATGGGGATGGGCAGAGACAGGAAGGTGCTCAGGCTGAGGGCGATTCCTCACAGCCTCTTTACTGGCCACCAGCAGGCTCTAACCAGCTGCCAAGCCTCCAAGACCTTTCTTCATTAGACAAAAAACAGACCTAAGGAGGCGAGGTAAAAGCTTCCAACTTAATTGCAACAAGAATACCGATGGAGACAGGTGCCCCCAGAATTGCTTCTCCACACACTGGGCTCCCACCCACTCCTAGTCTTAAAATAACAGCGTGCAGGTCACAGGTGTCTAAGAGTCCTTTTCCTTCACCCCTTGCCTTTCTCAAGAAAGGCAAAGGAGCCAGGCAGGCTGTGGACATGACGTGGCATCACCCAGAGTCCGTGGGAGTTTGATGATGAGAGGGCAGGCAAGCACCAGAGCTCTCATGGGCCTAGACTCCACCTCTGCTGAGCTCAGGGTCAGTCTTCCCTGCTGTCCACCATGACGACAGGTGATTCAGCTTCAACCTGGGTCACAGCTGGTCTCTCTCCAAGGTCTCTTCCCAGCCAGGGTGATTTATGGTCCTTTGATTCAGAACTAAAGTAAACCTATGGGAGGCCTGTCTTCTTCCCAGCATGGTGCAGGTGGCAGCACAGTCACAAGCCTGACCTTAGGCTCCACCCAGCTCCTCATCTTCCCCCCTCCCCAACCATACTCCCAGGCCTATAAAAGCCCTCCACAGCTCTGGGTGCTGGGTGCTGCAGCTTTTCTTACAAGTGACACTTGAGAGCAGCTGGAGCTTTAAAAGAGGCATTGTATTTGGAGACAACTGGTTTCCAGGCATTCCTTCACGCTACACCCAACCCTGCCAGGGCCCCAGCACCAGGGTGTGGTCCACTCCCCACCAGATTCCACCCTGGGCCCTTCTCATCTGCTCTTGGCCTAAGGGGTTTCATGACACTGCTAAGTTCAACTATGAAGTTGGCCACGGGCCTAGGACCAGCACCACATCGCAGCCACCCCTATATTCATTCAAAAGTATATTCACTCAAAAGTAAGTTTACACAGCTGTGTAAACTCCTATGCTAGTCGCTAGGGTGCAGGGACACCCTGCCCTCAAGGACTCCTACCCTAACATGTCACTATTGCTGTTATTAGCTGCTGTCCAGTCAGCCCCTGACTCAAGGTGACCCCATGCACAATGGGATTATGATCCATAGGGTTTTCACTGGCTGATTTTCAGAAGTAGATTTCCAGGCCTTTCTTCCTAGTCCATCTTAGTCTGGAAGCTCCACTGAAACCTGTTCAGCATCATATCAACAGGCAAGCCTCCACCAATAGACCAGTTATGGCTACACATGAAGTGCACTGGCCAGGAATCAAACCCAGCTCTCCAATACAGAAGGCAAGGATTCAACCACTGGGCTACCACTCACCCTCAACATGTCAGTAGCTTCCCTTAATAACAATGCTATAATGAGAGCAACCACTTATCAAGCACCTACTACACCCAAGCTCCATGCTAGAATCTTTATATATAATCTCACCAATGCACACAGCAACCTTAGTAGGTAGACAATGATCATCCCTCCTTTACTAATTAGGAAAAAGAGGCCCAGAGACGTTCAGTGGTTTGCCTGGAGTCAGACAGTAATCAGTGTTGGAGCCAGGATTTTAAAATGTTCTCTTGGATACAATGCTGACCCTGATACCCCGATACTGGGCAGTCTCTTCATGATTCCCCAAGATTTTCCTTCCTGTGGCTCCTAGAGGGTTGAGGTGATTTTTAGAGAGGAGAGCTAAATGTGGCCATTCCACCTTTGGTCTTGGCTCATATGTATCCTTGAAAAGCAATGCTGAGGCCATCAGGAGACCACTGGAGTCCTGCAGACCAGAGTTCTGAGGGCTAAAGTATCTGGCCCTCAATTCCAGCCAGTTATAGTAGTCCTAAAATCCATTGGGGTTCCTCTACTAGATCTACATGGCCCAGTCCCATTTTGTAGATGAGGAGACTGATGTTAGGAGTTGTAAAATGAAGTCCAGAAGTTATCTAAACCCCACCCCCATGGAAGTATGGACAGAGGTAGAGTTGGGGCCCCTCCTCAGCCTACCTTCATTGTGAAGGTCCCTGTGAGGCTCTGCCCACTTCTGCTGGCTGACCTCCCGACGGTACACCACATGTGTCCTCCCGCTGGCCTCCTTCTCCTGTTGCCCCCGCTCCAGAGGCTCAATGAAGTAGTCAGTGCTGTCTGTGCGGATCAGGCCAGCCTGAACCAAGGACACAGTGGGTGGGCAGAAAGAGGGGGTACAAGGGAAGAGAGAGAAGTGGCATAAGTACAACACAGCAGACACACAGGTGAGTACTTGTGAATGCAATTAGTGTGCAGTCATAGACATGGACAAGCTTTTCCCCTAGGGCTTTGGGGAGCCCTGGGATTCCAGGAGATATACTGAGACCCTGGTAGGGAAGTTGAGGGGAAGTAGCAGGAAGGCTGAGCAAAGGAACCCCATGGTCCAAGCAAAGCAGATCCACTTTTACTGTGTAACGTAATCATGAGGTTCCACATAAAATTTCATTTAAACACAGCGTTCTATTGTTTTAAAAAGGGGAGGAGGTATGAAAGTCCCTGCTATAAGGGATATATATACCCACAAGGAAATTGCATCCAGCCCCATGCACAAGCACATGAATTTTTCTTTACCCATAGGCAGAGGAGGGGAAATCCTAGTAGCAAAGGTTAATTATCCCTCAGGCAGGTACTAGTCCCTCTTTCCAACACAAGAGCTATTAATTCAAATTTAAAACTCTCGTGTGTGTGTGTGTGTGTGTGTGTGTGAGAGCATGCGCGTGTGAGCATGCACGTGTGTGCACACGCGCACTCACAAGTACTCACCCCAAGGAAGGACATCAAATGTTCACCAACAATTAACCAGCCAGGAGACTGCAGCTGGAGTACATAGCTTTTAATCTAATTTTTTGTCTACATTAAAATATTTCCTTTTTAAAAAAAGGTGCTGGCCTTGGAAATAAAAACATAAAATATATAACCCTGGCCAAGCCCAGCAAACATGTAATTAATTACTGCCCAATGAAGGCAGAAATCATAGGGGCCAACAAAATACTTAACTAGATGTGTTTGAATATATGCATAGCTGTACACATAAACACACATCATTTCTATAAGGTAATAAAGCTAGCCCACCTACCACAGTGCCTGGAAAATAGTATGCACTCCATAAATAAATATTTGCCGAATTTGTTCACTCATTCAACAAATATCTGTTGAATGTCTGCTATACCAGGCACTGCTCCAGGCACCGGGGATGCAGCTGTGAACACAGAGGAGTGGAAGAAACCATTTTTATACATCTATTGGACCTTCTCCATCTGAACAGAAGTTGCCCCTTTTTAAACAGTCACTTTATGCAACTACATTTAGCCAATTTTCCTACCTCAACCTGTTTTGAGATTGCTTCTTCGGGAACAACCTCTAAGACCTACTGAACACTCACCACCACTGACCCTCCCAGGGACTACTAATCATTTTCATGTCCCTTCCATGAACGTCTGATGGAAATTCTGGATCAAACCCAAAACGAACTGCCTTCTGTGCCTCATTTACTAGACCCAACCAGGATTCCACAGAATGTTCTAGAGGAAAATGGTAGCATTAATGGAATGAGTTTGAGGCTTCCATAAGTAGTACTGTTAAAATCAAATGTTGTGGTATATTTGTGACAATGTCAGTGTCCGTTAAGGACTGAATTGTGTCTCCCAAAAATATGTGTTAGAATCCTAGCCCCTACACCTGTGGATGTAACCTTGTTTGGATATAGGGTTTTCTTTGTTATGTTAATGAGGCTATATCAGTGTAGGGCACTTCAGAGAAGACAGATGCTATGTAAGGACCATGAGGATCACAGGGAACCAAGGAACGCCAGGGGTCACTGACAAAGAAGAAATCAAGGGCCAAGACACTAATGATGTAGACTTCTAGCCTACAGAACTGAGAGAAAATAAACATCTGTTCTTTAAATCCACCCACTTGTGGTATTTGTGTTACCGCAGCACTAGGACACGAAGATGTGTCAAAGCTTATATTTAGCACACATGCCCTCATTCATCTGAAACTCTTATGCACCCTGGGGAAATAGGACCCACCTCAGAGGGAGGAAAGGGAGGGAACGCCAGGGACGACCAAGTGGCCAGATAGGATCCAGGTAAGGGGAGGGTGGAGACATTTCGAACAGCTACAGGAGACAAATTTGTCTGTCAGTTTGTCATACTGTGGCAGCTTGAGTGTTGCTGTGAGGCTTGAGGCTGTGCCACCGGTGTTTCAAATGTCAGCAGGGTTGCACATGGTACACAGGTTTCAAGGCAGCTTACAGACTGAGACAGACTAGGAAGAAGGAAGAGGCCATCCACTTCTCAAAGACCTGGCTGAGGAAATCTTATGAATAGCAGAGAAACATTGTCTTATACATTACTAGGCAACTTTATGAATAGCCCTGAAACACTGTCTGATACAGTGCAGGAAGACAAGCCCCTTAGGTCGGAAGGCACTCAAAATACAACTTGAAAAGAGCTGCCTCATCAGAGTAGAACCAGCCTTAATGATATGGATAAAGCAAAGCTTTCAGGACCTCCATTTACTGACGTGGCACAACTCAAATTGAAGAGAAACATCTGCTAACATCCATTAATAATTGGAACATGGAATGTAC